TTTAAATCTGTACTTATCTCTAATTCTCATGATTTCTTATTTTGTTCAGTCATATAAGCTAAATATATAAGCACAACGGCCATGTAAAACACAATCGAACTAAAGAAATGCAAGAAGAAACAGTATTCCGTCTCCATTCTCCAATCACATAAATGTAGTTGCATGTATCTATCTCCATTGTGCATTTTTCATACTGTACATGTATAATTTACATTTTCAGATCAGTCAGAATAGCAACAGTTCCAGGGTTCGGTGCAATAGTAGAAAATGTTACTCAAAGAGAAGTGAGCCACTTTAAGTACTAGAAACAAAGTATATGCATGATACATTAAAGAACTGATTTATTTAAAGCAGTACCTTTACAGAAAATAAAATATCATTTTTGAAGCAAACATTAAATGATGAAATGGTTATAACTTGAAAGTAAAACTAATATTGAGTGTAGATAAAAGTAGTACAAGTTCTTTAGTTGATAATTATTTACAGGCCCAATGGCCTTTAAATAGTGAGCGGTCACCAATGAATAGAGACTGAATTAAGAACACAGAGTTTCCAGAGAGTGTTGTATATGACGGTTGATTTGGATTCATAAATTATTGAATTTCTCTAATATCTAGATCTAAGGGGCTTGGGCCAGTGTCAGTATAGGTGTGCCAATTTTTCACAAAAGCAATTTCGTAAGAATGTAACTTCAATCCTTGATAAGATTTAATGAAAGGTTTGAGCCTTTGTAAAATTAGTTTTGTGAAAAATAGAGATTTTGACCCAGGATTTTAATGGCCAGGAGATTGAGAAATGTATTGCAAAATTATATAAGTTAACTTACGGTAGGCAAAGGAAAATGAATAATATCAGGCTTATAACTTAATTTAATGTAAAAATTTACACTTTTTCAATTTATTTTAAGAATTAAAGTAAATTCCGAAAAGGATTCATAAATATTCTAAAAATGCTCAAAATTAATACAGTGTAGTAATAACAGAAAGATTGTTTATAACACGAAAATTGTTCTTTTTCAGATGCTAGACAAAGTCTATATGCAGTTCCAAACATTCATGGATGATCCTATGTATCATGATCAGCATACAATGTTGGTAGAGATCATCCGTACATTTGCTAGAATAGGTCCCAATGCAGAGCCACGTTTCAGGGATGATTGTGAGTACAAATTTTTTCTATATGTTTAAAGTGGGAAATGTATATCAGCCATATGCTAAATCTTGCTTGCTCATTTTATCAAAAATAATAATTATTCAAGACAAAGGATTTTAAAAATGTTGCATATGATATAACATGGATTTTTGAGAGATTTGGTAAAAGGTGACAAAGAGGGAATTCATTGGATTAGATCAACACTGATTTTATGAGACTTTCTCAAGAGTTTCCAATGAGTCTCTTTGAAATAACAATTTTCTGAGATGTACAGAGCAACAGTTTTGTTTCTTCATTGAATCTATTTGATCAATTAATTTTGTAAGATTTCATCTCACGTTATTTTGAGGTGAATCATATAGAATACATACATGTCAGGCCCGTAGCCAGGGGGGGGGGGGCTTGGGGGGCTCGTGCGAGCCCCCCCAGATATCTCCTAAAAAAATGTGGACCTACCTTTTTTTTGCTTTCTTGTAAAATTTTCTGACATTTCGAGGTAAAAGGTAACATTTGGTGGCATATGTACTGTGTATTTTAATGTGATTGCTAATTTCTTTTTATAAAATTCTAAATTGACTCGATCTAGAACTACAGTTTGGAACAAAATAAATGACAGGTGGATTTTCTATCACCATATGCAAACCATGGTGTTTTGAAAGCCCTATAGTCTCAAATATTGTCTAGATACATATCCCTTAAAACTTGTTTATTTTAGATTTTGTATACTCTCATCCACTGATGTATGACCTCTTGAAAATTCTCTTATTTTTAACCAAACTGTAGAATAGCTTAAGGCAACTGAATGATTCGGAAATTAATCATATATTTTGATCCTTTTATCGCACAGAAGGTGCCAAAATAAGCCTAATATTCAATTCTTATTTAAATACATAAATCATATATTTTGATCCTCGAATTGCCCAGAACGCACTAAATCAGCCCAAAGATTTTAACTTTTTCAGGGGAGCATGCCCCTGATTTTTTAATAAATCATATATTTTGATCCTAGAATCGCTCAGAACGTGTCAAATAAGCCTAAAAATTCGAATTCTTAGAATACATAAATCATATATTTTGATCCCTAGTACGATCAGAACGCATCAGAATCACCCAGAATGCCCTAAAAAGCCTAAAAATTCATATATTTTGGGCCTAGAATCGCTCAGAATGCACCAGAATTGCCCAGAATGCGCCAAATTAGCCTAAAAATTCAATTTTTTGAAATATGTTAATCATATATTTTGATCCTAGAATCGCCCAGAACACACTAAATCAGCCCAAAACTCCTAAATTTTCCGGGGGAGCATGACCTCTAACTAGATCACTCCCAAGCTATCATTTTACAGGCTCGAATTTTGTTCCGTCTAAATCAATCAACTAGTCATTTTTAACAACATTAGGAGATTACTGGGCATTTTTCAAAATTTGGGCTCATATTTTCTTCAGCGCGGACATTTTTGGGTCCCCTCCCTGGTTTTCGTGGCCACCCCTGGTGTCTTGTTAATAACACCCTTGTGGTCACAATGCGAAGTTGGTTAAGCATAAAAACATTTTTGTGTGTGGATGGGGGGGGGGGGGGGGGTCGAGCCCCCCCTAACCAAAACCTGGCTACGAGGCATGCATGAGGCATTATCTTACAATATCCTTAATGTTTGGAGTCTATAAACGAGGAGATCAATAATGACCTTGAAATGTTTTACACAGTTTAAGACATTTTATGTCATTTAAAAAAGTACAAGTATGTCTTCTATTTAAGACATGAAGTACTAAATAATACTTATAAATTCTCATGTAAAAAGCATTGATATAAAGATGTCAATTCTTTTTACAATATTTATTATATCAAGGCAGTAGCTGCCTTGTTCATAGTTTATGCCTGACTGTATTTTTTGTATTAACCTCCTGGATACTACAGCATTTTGAATTGTTTGCCAGTGTTTACCGATTGATTAAACATTAATTTACAATATGTGATGTTTAATTCCTGAAAATAGTAAAGTCTGATGCATGCCATACATTTTAAATTGGATAAATAATATTTTAAGTATGAGTACTTTTGATTTACTCAGTGTATACACAAGAGGTTCATGTTGATGTTGCAATTAAAATATATTACAACATAATAGGCCTTTGATGCAAACAATCCATTTATTCACATAATCACCATTATATCTGTGTTTACAATATAAATACTTGTACAATATATAAACAATCACCCCAGATACCCTATTCCATAACACAAAAACCTTTACAATGAACGTTCATACATGACAAGAAACTACTCGACTTGTGTCTGTAACTGGGTTCCTCAGTTCATACTGAACTGGTATTCTGCTAAATCACAAACGCCTTTGTGTCATATTCAAATTGAGTCACCGCGATAATGAACCATCTTCTGTTTAAATCTACATACATGCCTTAATTTATCATGTATCATCTTTTGGTTTGTATTTTCTTATGCTATACTCTTAATCTGCTCTGCAGTCATTTTCTCTGTGGTTGTACTGATTTTTGTATTAGCACAAAATTGCACTAACTTTAGTTTGTGCTAATTTTGCATGGAAAACGATAGCACTTATTCAGCACAAAGTTTTTTCTGGCAGGGGGCCATTCAGTGTCTTATACGTCAGCCCATTTTGTTGTTAATTTGTCAAGTTGGGTTCAGAAAACCACATCTATCCCTTAGTGGATACAGATACAGTTAGCTGCTCATTAGTATACTGTTTAGACAGCTTTCTCTTACTAACACATTTGTACATTCTCCCACATGGGATTAAATTTGCATTCAAAGTACACAATCTACGTATCTTAGTTTTACAATATAAATGATGTTATTAAGATTGCGTTATATGTTGTGTTATGTTTCTGCATGCATTTCATATATTCCGTTAGATAATTTTTTTATTATCTATTTTACAATGGTGATATATATATTTTTGCTGAATCCACATGATAGACGGGGGTTTGATTTTCAAGACTTCATTTTCTGCTGGAAAACCAATTGAAACACCATATACATGTACATTTACAGTTTTTACAGTTTTAGAGACATCTGCACATATAGAGTATATTTTACATAACCCCTTTACTATACTTGTACAGATAGAGTTTATTTTACATAACCCCTTTACTTTACTTGTACAGATAGAGTATATTTTACATAACCCCTATACTATATTTGTACAGATAGAGTATATTTTACATAACCCCTTTACTATACTTGTACAGATAGAGTATATTTTACATAACCCCTATACTATACTTGTACAGGTAGAGTATATTTTACATAACCCCTTTACTATACTTGTACAGATAGAGTATAATTTACATAACCCCTTTACTATACTTGTACAGATAGAGTATATTTTACATAACCCTATAGTATACTTGTACAGATAGAGTATATTTTACATAACCCCTATACTATACTTGTGCAGATAGAGTATATTTAACATAACTCCTTTACTATACTTGTACAGATAGCGTATATTTTACATAACCCTATACTATACTTGTACAGATAGAGTATATTTTACATAACCCCTTTACTATACTTGTACAGATAGAGTATATTTTACATAACCCCTATATATTCTTGTACAGATAGCGTATATTTTACATAACCCTATACTATACTTGTACAGATAGAGTATATTTTACATAACCCCTATACTATACTTGTACAGATAGAGAATATTTTACATAACCCCTATACTATACTTGTACAGAGAGAGTATATTTTACATAACCCTATACTATACTTGTACAGATAGAGTATATTTTACATAATCCCTTTACTATACTCGTACAGATAGAGTATATTTTACATAACCCTATACTATACTTTTACAGATAGAGTATATTTTACATAAACCTATACTATACTTGTACAGATAGAGTATATTTTACATAAACCCTATACTATAATTGTACAGATAGAGTATATTTATTACATAGGTAAACTTTCCACTTACACTTTACATGTACACTTTAGTTGAAGTTTGAGAGACTGAGTATATTTTACACAGCCCCTACACTATAGTTGAAGTTTGACAGGCAGAGAGAGTATATTTTACACCGCCCATATACTATAGTTGTAGTTTGAGAGGCAGATAGAGTATATTTTATTTATCCTTATATTATAATTGTTGTTTGAGAGACAGAGGCAGTATATTTTACATAGCCCCTACACTATAGTTGTAGTTTAAGAGGCAGATAGAGTATATTCTACATAGCCCCTACACTATAGTTGTAGTTTGAGAGGCAGATAGAGTATATTTTACACTGCCCCTACACTATAGTTGTAGTTTGAGAGACAGAGAGAGAGCCCCTTCACTATAGTTGAAGTTTGAGAGGCAGATAGCGTATATTTTACATAGCCCCTACACTATAGTTGTAGTTTAAGAGGCATATAGAGTATATACATAGCCCCTTCACTATGGTTTTGGTTTGACACACATGCATTTAAAAAGAATCCTACAATCTAAATTATCATGTTTCAAAACTAGTTGTATCTCAGAAAAGTCTGTAATTACATCAAGTAATAATTTTCTCATCTTTTTATACATTGTATTGTATTATTTAGTCCCGAAGAGAGGTTGTCATAACGATACTTCTCTATATATGGTGTCATATTTTTCTAATTTTTCTAATTTTCAGTTGAAATGAGAGTTCTTTTTTTTCATTAGCTCTTGAAATGAGAGAATGATTGACTGACAGTTCTCATTATTTCATCGTCTCTTTAAATGAGAACATACTAGACGGAAGTGATTATCTCTTCATGTTCAACAGGTTTACTCAATGGTTCCAGAGTTTCATCTGGGGGAGTAAAATCTGTGTCATATTTTACATACTGGGGTGCATTTATACCACCATTCCTCATATCATCCTCAAACTTTTGTAGAATTCCTTTATTCAAAATAGGTTTTCCCATTAGCTGTTCTGATTTTCGCCTATTGGATTTACGTCTATGAATTCTGTAGACTAATGTTAAAATACTCTTAAGTTCATGTCTGAATTTCTTACACGTTCCAGCATATATGAAGAATTTACAGCTTAACAATCCATAGACCAACTCCGAACAAATGGCATTAGCTAGGGCTGTCTGGCTTTGGTATTCCCGATCAAATTTACGCATCTTCTGAACTTCCACAAAATATTTATAAATGTAGAAACTGAATTTTGGTATCGTGAGAATCAGATGAAGTACCAGGATGATGAGGAAAGTTTTGCGTAACTGGATAATGGCATCTGGATTAAGACTATATTTATGTTCATTTAAAATCTCCACAGCACTTTTTGATTTTTGCTTGAGGAGCTTCAATCCAGCTAACGTGATGAGAATAACTATGATTACGTATGGCACTACTTCAGCGATAATCAGATCCATAATTGGCCACATGATAGATTGAAACTCTTCGCTGGCTTTATTAGTCCAAGTACATATCTGACCATTATCAGTCCCTGGGTTAAATGACTCAGATAACGGAATCTTCGCAAATGACCAGAAGAAGTGAACATTGACAAACACGAGTAGGACAGTGAGAAGTAATAATATTGCCCTCACCCGCTCAATTGTACACATTTTTCGAACTTTCTCGGGATGCCCACACATAATGAAAGTCTCAACAGCTAGTGCCACTAGCACCCAAATTGCGAGATGGGCAATAAAATTGAAGGCGAATGGATAAACCTTACAGACTGTGTCTGAGTAAACCAACAGTATGTTGCTCAGGTTAGTTCCATTAAGATTATACAGCCAATCATTCCCGCACTTGATGTACAATACAAGGAGGTCGATGATGGCGGTGACTGCAAGGTACACGCACGTGGAGCAAGATTTAATACTCATCTTGGTCAGTACAATTGCGGCGAGGATATTTCCAAATGTCCCTATAAAGAGTAGTATAGGTGAGATGTAGATGTAGAGGTATTTGGCCAAAGCTTGTTCTGCCAACTGTGTGTCATAAATATTCTTCACGTAATCTATCAAGTCATCTTTTGTCTGATTTGTGCCATTCAACCCTGCAAGTAAAACAAACACAGGATTTTTAATAAAGCTGAAAGGATTATGAACATTCCACTCTAGTTCTATATTTGTTCACAGTAATAGAGTGGCAATGTCTCTCAATGCCTTGAACAAACAAGGTATTATCATGATTGATTCAATATGATAAAATGACTCCGAATGTTTTACAGTAAGACATTTTAAGACATTTAATTTTTAAAACATCTTTTATCAGATGTTTTAAGGCTTAACTCTATGTATACTATCATAATATATTTATTAATAATATTGATGTTGTTCTAAATCTAGATAATGCTGGCATCAACATTTCCCTAATCAGCTCATAGTGAGTATCCTACCAGACAGTCCCATAGCCTGGAGGACCTTTGCTTGGTCAAATGTCCCAACTTCCCGAAGTCGTTCAAAACAGCCATCACAGAATTCACTGTCATAGGAGCTATACATATGCCACCTAACACAGTCCAAACAACTCTTTTCTAAAGCTGGATCCATATTGCCACAGTTTTTCTAGTATTGTGATTATGATGAAAACGTATCTCTATTGATCTGTTGATGTTATTTTTATCCTGTTTTTTCTACCACGGAGACTTAGTTCAATTTCTATGACTTCTAAACTATATTCATTATCAGTTTTATTACAATTGCATATGTTACTGCATATACATTTCATAACAGTCCTTGGTATTCTGTTTACCAACATGTAGTTGAGGTAACAAACATCTATTTTTTAGAATTTTGTTGCGATCTGTTCTTTCATTGATGCCATTTGTATCTGTACTAGTTATATGGAATACCCTGTTCAATGTTATATAGTAATGTTATGTAGCAACATGACATAATCTTATAAGCATCTCTCCACCTCTGGAGCCTTAGGTTAAGTGGCACTAAATGGATGTAACAGTCTCAAGATGCTAGTTTGTTGATGCTACAATTGAATTAAATCATTAGGGATGTGGTGAAATTATGTACCAACATATGGCTAAAACTATTGATGTACACATTATGATGCAATATTATGGAAACATTGATTTGAAATCTGTTTTCAATGGGGAAACATATTGGGCAAAGGGCAGTTTTGAAAGATACTCCAGAATGATGTTATTGATCATAGAACCTCAAGCCCAACTGACATAAATGTAGCTCTTTTTTATGGAAAATGAAAATTCTGATAAAAGCATTGATGATACCTACTAATCTAGTAATACTCTCAATGATTCCATGATAATACTATAGCCATTATAAACATATAACTAGTTCCAGAAACCTTGGAAAATATTTGAGCATAATCTGCTGCTCCCTGTACTTAATTAAGGAACATCTATTGGAATTATTCAGTCAAATGCAGGAATATTAATCTGTGTGACATTTACAGACAGTAAATTCTCTTTTTAACCACATTGTTGAGAAGAGAGTTGTTAGAGATTACTTACTGATTCCATTTCAATATGATCATTAAGCTGTACTTATGGAAATCACATTCAGGACTTAATGTTCCAACTCATAAAACATCAGTTCTGAAAATCCCTGATTTGGCATTGTCTAATGGAGTATGATGAAAATCACCAATTCTTAGTACAGCAGGATTTCCGTCTATTATAAAGCAAATAAAGTTGCATTACTTATAATTTCAGTAACAGCTTTAGTAAGTAAAGTGGGTGATAAAGAACATTAACTTTTAGAGATACTGCAGTCAAATACAGAGGTTATAAGAGTATAGTCATAATTTCTAATTTAGGTTTGGTTTGTTGTGATGTTTCGACCTATAGCATAGGATGAAATATGTATTGTTAAAAGTTGATTTGTTGTAACACTTTTCATTTATTTCATTGTTTCTAGTATATGTAGCTTTTATAGTTTTCCTTGTGATAATCACCTAACATTCTAGCCCGGACTGTGACCCACTTACTCTTCTTTAAGTATACAGAGATAATGAGAGAGCCCAATAAATATATATAAAGGATGTTAAGCACAAATGCTAAAAGGGTCAATACCAAAAATTATCGTATGATCTGTGAAGTAAAGCCATTTGATCTTGTGCTGTATCAATTTGTATTGCTACTGAGATTGTCCCCTTTCCGGAGCAATACAGAAAATATTGGTAATGAGGGGACAATCTCAGTAGCAATACAGGGAATACAGAATATTTCTTAGGGATTATCTCCTAGGTAAAATATATTGGCCTAAGATCATACAATAAAACAACGTTATAGAATGCTTTGAAATGAAATACTTGACATATTCTGCTCTTGATATTCTGTATTGGCACTCGACTTCATCTCATTCCAATACAGAATTTCTCGAGCAGAATATATCATGTATTGTACTTCAAATCATTCAATAATCTATAGTATTACTTAACAATATTTGTAAAATATATGTGGTGAAGTTGAAATAGTAAAGTATGTGAGACCATGGGAGTGTTTCCAGTCACAAGAAATGCAAATAAGATCAACTGGCTTATAACCAATCCTAAAAACAGATATTAAGAGGCTATAAGTGACACATATAACATTCATAAGAATCAACTCCAGTGGGAGCAGAAACTCATTTATATTTGAAGTATATTGTTAGATCACATATTTTAAGTGAAAGTATCATTATTTGCATTTTTCTAAAGTCCATTTATAGGAGCACAGACAAGGGAGATCAAATCTATAGTTTATCCAAAACTGACACTTGTATGTAAGCCTGGGGGCTACATCTCCCTTTGTATCTACATGGTGGCTTAAATCTCATGACATGGGATTCAAGAGATTGAAAGTACATTAATCTAACTTATTGTACTTAGGATTAGAGCTTTTTTTCATTATTCCTCTTAGTGCTCCATTTAATTCCCTAATGTCATTCTGGAAAGTTTACAGTTTTTCAGATTTCCCATTTTTAGAAGTAGCTTTTTTGTAGGTCCTTCATAACATTTCCTCATTTACATCTTATTGTGGTTTTACATATGGTTCATATAAAATAGTTTTTAGATGTTTTGGGAATGCTGCAAATAGGTAGAATATAAAGTTCTTTCATTCACAGAATTTGGTTTTGACATTTTGAAGCCATTTGTGCTTTTCCACTAATTTAGTTTTAAAACCCCTATTGTCATTTCTGTAATTGCTTTGTAGCTACTAGTTCATTCTCAAATCAAACAAATAAAATTTATGAAGAACAACACCAAGACAAAAAACACAAGATAAACCTATCAAATATCGTTTAATGATTGTTTGTGTATGTCATCATAGCTTGGGATATGGGGGGGGGGGGGTGTTTTCTTTGTGATTTGTTAAGTTCATATGCTTCTTTTTCTTGCTGATTATTTTTGTAGCTCCTCATTCTTTTTATTGGCACTTTTGATAACATGATTTGTTACATCACTTAAATAAGCTAGTAACAGAATATGAAAATGCTGTGATGAATACTTCTTGATCATTGACTTCTTGATCGATGATTATTTTTAGCCTATTCTAAAAAGTTCATCTGATAGTAGATTTGTGAAAAATACTCTTAAGTACTCTTTTAGTTAAGGAGGCTGTATTCTTATTCAGCAATTTAAGTATTGCCTTACAATACCCAAGAGAGCAAACTATAGAGATTCTCAGGAAATCTTATCTAGTCTCCCGAACAATAAGAGACTTAATTTTGTAACATTAAACAAAGGAATTGCTGTAATGTTATGAGAAATTGATTTTCTTGATGGAAGTAAGTCCCTAAGCATAAGTTAAGAAAGAGATAATTGTATTTCTCTCAACTCTTGTTTGACAAATAATCTCAAAGTTAATGTAATTCTACATAGTAAGACAAATTGCATGTTTTGTTGGTCGCCATGGATACGCCAGATGCAATAAGCATAAGTGTTAATTCATACTGTGACAATGGTGGCCATTTTTTGAAATTCATTTTCTTTTCATCTTAGCCAATTGATGATATCTGCTGATGTCTATTGGTTAGATACGTTTACTAAACTAAGAATTCCACAAAATAAACTGTATATGTTTAACTTTCTAGCTTTCGGGACCAACTTTTCACTTCGTCAGCACTACTAGATTCTAAAATTGATGGGAACATTCGTCTCCCTCAACCTTTCAGTAAATACTGTTCTATCAAGTTAGACAACCTGAGAGGCTAAATTTTCATTCTAATTCTTTTGAATGAATACCTGTACATACTACTTGATGGGTATTTTTGAACCAATTAGCAGCTTTGGGGATTTTCATCCTCTGTAGATCAAATACACACTTAATGATATTTTACAATCTACCAAAATAATTAAACATTTTGAGGGCCAGAACCTGACCTATTTGCGAGTAGATACTTGAACACACTTCACTTAAGAGAAATCTTTTCATGTTTTGACCAACTATGACCCAACTTCTCCATTAGGATCTCTATTAGCATATAATGTGACATCCATGAAGCATTTGCCAAGTTTACATATTTTGAGACAAAAAAACGTCCTCAGAATCTGTCTAACTGAAATTTTTTGACATGCGAACATCATTCCAATTTCTTAACATCATGTCTAGCCTGACAATACCAACCTGGTATAAATCCCTATTTGACATCACATATGTGACTTTTTGATTTACTTACCATGGCTCACAAGAAATGTCTCATTCGTGATAAGTTGTTCAATGTAAGTATTCCATGTCCTATCAGGGTTGATAGAGCTATCATACCACTCCAAAAACATTATAATTTATGCGATCAAAACTGAAGGAAAAAAGTTCTGATTTTCAGGAATCTCTCCTAAAGCTGCTGTTCTCGTTTTTTGATACACCAAATTAATGTTATCCAAACTTAAGCAAAAATTGTTCCATTTTTCAAGGAATCTCTGCTAAAGCTGCAATGCTTTTTTAATCCACTGAGCTGTAATATTTTACTGGCTTTTATAGCATTGCAATGAACTCCACCTCAGTTTTCCCTTTGTCTGAAATATCAAACTTTTCACTTGAGTATTTTTAACTAAGAGTTATTCTATTTCTTCAGTGTCACTGATGAAAATGTTAAT